GTGTGTGTGTGTGTGTGTGTGTGTGTGTGTGTGTGTGTGTGTGTGAGAGAGAACCTTCTGTTCTGAATACCTCCTGTTTTTTGGCTTCTTTTTGCAAAACCCCAGTTCCTAGAGCTAGGAGATGAGGCTCTCAGCCTTAATATATACATATATAAGCCAAAAACCAGGAGGTACACAGAATAGAAGGGTTTTTGTGGTATTTATCCTCCAGAGTATATCAGTATCTATACTGCTGGCTATGATTTTGTTTCAATCTTCCAACCTATAAATACAAACTAAGTTTGAGACAATAAAATCTAGTAGCTGTAAAATCTGGAGGGACATAGGAATCAGAAACAATTCCCCAGATGCCTCCCAACGCTATATTTTGTATATATGTTTGCATGGGCCCTCTACTGAATCAAGTAGTTTGCACTCATACCCCAAGTGGTAGATGTATCCAATTCTTAGTAACAATGAGCAAAGGGAAATTTTTCACTCATACAAATTATTTTCTTGTTTCATTTTAGGTAACCATTGCTGTCCACCTCTTTGGTTTATTCATGTTTAATGTTGAAGATAGAATTACTCATTACATTCTGTCCATTTTCCTTCCTATATATCCATTATTTGGCCTTTGCATCACAACTTTATATGTAAGTTATTGTGCTGTATCACAAAAAGACTAGCTATGTACCTAGCTAAGTTTCTTTGGAAAAACAAAATGCATAGTTTCTCAGTAGGAAATGTTAACACTAACTGGACCACTGACAAAGCCCTCTCTGTTTCTGTTACCCATGGGATTTTCATGGTTCTGTACAGCGATTAAAGAGCACAACTCCCTGCAAAAGCGTCTACTCGTCTTCCCAAAAATGGGGAGCAAATCTCAAAACACACCAGCAGAGTAGATGGAAAGAAAATTTTATCCACTAACTGGGACTACAGAGCAACTAGAGGGAGCAGATGCTTGCCCCTTGCAGAGCTATTGGTCCTAAAGAGAAGATCTTGAAGATGGTTTTATTCAGGAATATAACTGTTTCTGGAATAATATTAGGAATCCCAAATTCAAATCCCCACAGTTACTCTTTCCTACTGTGAGCATTTTGAGTAAAACAGAAATACTCATTTTGAAAATATTTATCAGTTTATTTATTACTCTCCCAACATTTTATAGTATTATATCAAACATGTATTTTTGCTCCTACAGGTTTTTGTAGACTTTCCTGATTCCCTCTTGAAACCCAGCTGGCCGGAAATACTGATATCTGTGTTTGGAGTAAGAAAAAAAATTTCAACATTACTTTTTAATTTTTATTATTTTGTATAGGCCATGCATCCTAATGTACTTTATATACCCTGTATTGCATTCACTGCAATCCATAAGCTAGAAAAATGCACATCATTTGACAGAATCTAACATACCAACTCTTAGATTTTTCTGTATAGCTTAAAGTTGGACTTAGTCCATGAATCTAGGGTCTCACCTGTCACCTGTACAAATAATATTAGACTATGTAAGTCTTCAATTGTAAGAAAGTGGGACTGCAATATAAAACTCATTCTGTGAAGTGGAGATCTTATATTGGATTTTAGTTGGATTGAGTTAGAGATAGCTGGCCCAGCTACTCAAAACACTATTTCTTTGAAACTGGAGAGAGAGAATAAAAGTCACAGATCAAATAGAGTCCTACTGAGTTTATGAATTAAATGTGATTTCTACCTTTAGTATTATAAGTTTTTTTGTATCACTGTTCATAAAGTGTTGGCTATTTCTTTTTTCAGCCTTACATCCAGTGTGTGGCTTTCGTTTTTCTTCTTCGATATTTGGAAATGAAATATGGAAAAGCGGTTTTGAGAGAGGTCCGATTTTTAGGTTTGTGCCAACACAAACCCTCAGGGGGCACGCACACACATGTGAGCTCATACCATACAGCCTTTTCTCAAAAACAAAATGCTCACAA